AAAAAAAAAAAAAAAAAAAAAAAGAAAAAAAGGCGACACATTGTAATCAATGTAACTAATGCCACTAAACAATTTGTGTGGAACCTGTTCATGAGAACCATGTAAAATTTCACCAAAAACTCAAGAAAAAAGTATTAATAAAAAATAAGTATGCTAAAGTGTCCCAAAAGCTAAATACCCATTATAAGTGGTAGTCCCAGCCTACCTTTCTTGGAAAATCCTTAAATGTAAGCATATATTTAAATAAAAGTTCATATTGCTAAAAAAAATACAACAAAAAACATTAAGAAGCTCCAGACTACTTCCAAAACTACTGAGCTGTCATTTTTAAACCTTAAACCAAAAGTATCCCCAAAAGTCTTAAAACTAAACCACAGTTTAGCTTCTCTAGTAAAGAATGTCTGCCTTGAGCGTTGTGCTCTTTCAAGGTCCAGCTATATGGGATCAAAGTGACAACAGCAACTCAAAAGAATAGAAACGAAAGTTAGGGGTGGTGGGTGTGTGCCATAAGTGGGTTCTGACTCACAGCAAACTCCTTATAGGGGTTCAGAGGCTATAAATCTTTATGGGAACAGAAAGCCTCATTTTTTTTCTCCAGAAGTGGCTAGATTTTAACTGCTGACTTTGCGGTTAGCAGCCCAATTTGTAAACCACTTAGAGAGGAAACATAGGGGGTCAGTGAATTTATGTTAATGGGGGAGGAACAACTCAGAAAATGAGGGTGAAAACACTTGCACATTAGACTGTAGTCAAAGTCACCAAATTATGGATCTAAAAATGGTTGAACTGGTGTGTATTCTGTTGTTTATATTGTTGTTTTGCTTTTGAGTCAGTTCTGACTCATAGCAACCCTGTACAGGATTTCTGAGGAGCAGTTGGTGGGTGTGAACCATTGATCTTGTGGTTAACAGTTCAGTGCTTATCCTTCAGCACTACACCAGGATTCCTATTGTATAAATTCTTAACAACAGCAAAATATTATTATTATGGATTGGATTGTGTCATCCTAAAATATGTATAATTCATAACCTTTATGCCTGTGATTATAATCCCATTTGGGAATGAACTGTCTTTGTTATGTTGATGAAACAGAATTGGAGCGGGGTACATTTTGAGTTAATCTCTTTTGAGACGGATTAAATGCAAGTTAGCAAGCAGAGATGGGGGAAGAGAGATGCCAAGTCATATGAAGATTGACCAGAAGCTCAGAAGAGACAAAGATGTCCTTGAATGGACAGAAAAAGCCTTCGTCTAGAACCCACACCACGAATCTGGGCTTCTAAGCATCTTAAACTGTGAGACAATAAATGTTTGTTCAAGTCACCCACTTGTGGTGTTTCTATTATGGCAGCATTAGATCGTTAAGACAATTATTTCTGAGGGGCCTTTCCAAAGATTGTGGAAAAATGGAATAGAAATATAATAGTATTTTCCCACACACTTTTGGAAACTCTCTTGTATTACATACTTATATATTTTGTACCCTAACAGCAGAGCATTTAAATGGAGCCTGGGACCCTATGTGAGACAGCGCTGCATACTCAGGAAGTTGAAGTTGGCTGGAATCATGGAGTGGAGAATGGGGCTTATTGGTGGATTGGATACAGGGCAGGTGAGGGGGTTAGATGATGGGATGTGGACAGTTTAGTGAGTGGCCTTAAGCTTCCCTCAAACTTGAGTGTGCAAAAGATAACCTAAAGGGTGGTTCCAGAAAGGAGATTTGACAGAGGTTGGGGCTGAAGGGAGGTGTGTGAGACCTCAAAAAGGAGCTGCCAAATAGGCCAGGAAACCTTTCTTCCACATCTGGACATTTGGTCAAAGAACCACACCATGTGCTGGAGAGGAAACAGGGCATTTTTAGAAGTCATGGCCTACCACGCTAAGGTCTCATCTTTCTTACCTGAAAGACAAACATGTGTCTCCCTGCTGGGACAGGGCCGACCAGTACTGAGTCGAGGATCTGATCAAACTCCTCACTCTCAGCTGAGCCAACATAAATGATCTTCCACTCCAGATCTGTAAAGATACATGGGGTGTTAGGAACCTGAGATAGTTTGACTGTAGAAGGCAAGGAAAGGGTCTTCTCTTAATTTGGGGCAGGTCCTCATTATAGTTAAAAATTCTTATCCCCGCTCCTCTGAGCACCCAGTGGCTCTGTGGTCCTGAACATGAAGCCTTGCTCCCCACAATACAATCTTGCCTATGGGCTCAGTTTTGCTAGGCGACCTTGACTCTGCACCTTGAGCAAACACAGGCCTCTGGGAGCCTAAGGACAAACCGTATGGCAGAGGCTGAATTAAGGCCCACGTGACTGAGGCACACTGTAGATGGAACAGCAAGAGCTGGGCCACTCCAGAGCTCTGCCCATTGGGTGCTGGGACAGGAAGCAGCATCCTCTTTCACACACAGGGACCGATGCCACCACACTGAGTAGATCCCTCGACAACTGGGGCAGGGCAGCAGATTCCAACCCAGCAGGACAGCCAGCAGCAGGAGGGGAAGATGAGGCCACTGGGAGAGGCGCCTGACCCCAGACCTCCAGATCTGGCATTGAGTCACACTTTCTCAGGGACTTCCAGGTAAGAGCACCATCAAGCAACACAATACACCTCTGGGTGGCTCTTGGAACCCCAACTCTCTTGCATCCCACTCAGCAGGAAGGCACCATCCCCGAATATGCTTGGGTGACAGTAAGGAGCCCTTGCCCATCAATCACAGTGGTCCTGGTGACCACTTCCTCCTGTAGGAGTCCAAGTGTAGCAGGGGCAAGGTCATGCTAGTCCAGGGACGTCTGGCATGAACCCTGACACTTATTTTCGGTTCTCTGAAATTGCACAATCAACAGCTCTAGCAGCTGGAGTTGCACAAGCTGTGATTTTTACAGGAAGCAGATTCTTTTGGAAACAGCCCTGTTCTTTGGTCAAGCCTTCCACAAGAACTTCCAACTGTGAGTGATGCTAGGTCACAAAGTGGCTTGTCACCTGAGCCTAAGTTCTTCCTTGAGCCACTGCTTTTGGTCCCTTTGCAGTTTCACCCAGACTCTCTACCCAGAAATTCTAGTAGAACTGTGGGACATGGGGACCCTTTAGTCAATAGAATTCAGCTGAACTCCAGGATCTTACTTCAGCTTCCAAGAGAATTTATCTTATTCTTTACATATTCCTTTATTGTGTGGCGCTGTGGGTTAATGTGTCAGACTGCAAAGCCGTTTGAACTGCAAGGTCGGTGGTTCAAGCTCACCAGCTGCTCCTTGGAAACCCTATATGTCACTATGAGTCGGAACCGACCCAACAGCACTTAACAACATTATCTCACTGACGTTTTTGTTGCTGTTATAAGAAGTATCACTAGAATTACATTCTTGGGAAAACAGAAAGACAAGCTAGCTCAGATCTCACCTTCCTACCATGACCACCATCTATAGCCTTCTGGCCTTTTCCCCGCTAACTAGTGGGGTCCTAGGAATACACTGAACTAAAGAACTGTGAGTGATAAGAGACAAAAGACAAGGCTACCATGGGCACTGGGGTTGTCCAGCTATGGTCATTGCCTGTTGGCAAAACCTAAACAGACTGTGGTTGCTGGCCCAAAGAGAAAATGCACTGTGCAGTCACGTAGGCTGAGCAGTTCCCTTAGTGTGGCCCAGCAAGAAACAGAGAACCAACCCAAGGCCAGAGAAATAATGACTCAAGAGTAGGAGGAGTTGATGAAATGGTATATGGAAGGCAGATGACTGGAATAAGGGCATACAAATGGGAACTCCTTAAATTTGCTGAAGCATTTTAAGCAGTTGTTGTTAAGTGCTGTCAAGTCAGTTCTGGCTCATAGTAACCATGTTTAGAGTTTCCAAGGAGCGGCTAGTGGGTCTGAACCGCTAACCTTGTGGGTAGCAGTCCAGTGCTTATCTTACAGCACTATACCAGGACTCTGTCAAGCAGAGACACCATTAAATGATTTCACTTTGGAATATAAAATTTCTTTGGACTGTATAGAGCATGCACTGGTAGCTACTGAACACAGGACACAGTTGTCCAACTGTTATTGTTAAATGCCGTCAAGTCGGTTACAACTCATAGCGACGGTGTGTAGGGTTTCCAAGGAGCAGCTGATGAGTTTGAACCGCTGACCTTGCAGTTCTAACTGACCTTGCGGTCTAGTACTTATCATACCAGAACTCCTGCCCAAATGTACACATGCAATATTGTGTACTTGACCTTATGGGCAACATCAAGGGTATGTGAGTGCATCATGTTTTGACTTAATCAAGTTTTGAATAAGCCAACTTTACAATCTCTCACACAAGATGGCCCTCCTCTTTGAGGGAAAACAAAACCAAAACCAATAACAGGACTAAAGGTTCATATAAATTACTGGAGTTGAACCACCTGTGGGAGTTAGGGAGCTGAAATCCAGCAGGCTGCAATGGGTGCCCAGGCACTCGGCATTTATTGTCCACTGAGTGCCCTCTTCTGTTTTTTTAACTTAACATACTGAGCATGCCCTTTTCTGTGTTAATCACTTTGCCTTTGTTTGTGCTGACACTGACGAACCTTGGTCTTACCACAGCATGTGAGCTCTGGGTCAGAACATCTGGTTTCTATGACTTCTTCAACCAGTGTGAGTTGAATTTCTCAGCTAAACAGGGAGAAAGCATACCTAACATCTTAAAGGTAGCCCTGTGCCATAAAGACACCCACTACCAGATAGTGTGGAGAAAAGAGAGCAAAACAGGCTTGCAACTCTTGGGAAACAGGGGTTTGGGTGACCTGTCAGATTTCAGCTGGCAGCAGAGAGAAGGAAAATGACGGACTGAGATTTTTCCTGGACCAGAGAAACTTCTGAGACAGGCCCAACTCCATGTGTTTGGGAGGCAGGAAACAGATTCTCTCTGCCTTGTGGGAAGAAGACCAGAAAGAGGCAGAAAGCAAGTTGGCAGGCCAGAGTGACCAACAGCAGTAGGAGGCAGAACCAAAGGGTGTGGATTTCCAGGACAGTTTGATTTCCAACTTGAGTTTCTCTGAGCAAAGGCTCTGCTGACCAACATAATTAAAAATCTGTTGCTGTTAATTGCCATCGAGTCAGTTCCAACTCAGCAATTCTGTATTGGGTTTCCAAGCAGCGGCTGGTGGATTTGAACCACTGACCTGTGGTTAGCAGCCCAGTGCTTATGCTACAGTGCCACACCACCATCTCCTTTATTCTTTTTAGTGTCCCCTTTCGGCAATAAATTGTATGGTTCTTCCTATTAACATTCCACCTCTAAAGTCAGGCATGTTTGCTTTCATTCGTTCACCCACCACAGAAACTGGACTCAAGCTCTCGTCCCTACATATCTACAAACTGGTTGTGTGACCTTGGAGAAGTCATTCCACTGCCTTCTATTTAAGAAGAAAATCCAGCAGGTTGACTTCAGCCTTTCTAGTCCTGATTTCATAAACAGATTACTAAAGCCACAGGCCAGGGGCTTCCTAGGAATAAAAATACTAACAGCCATGTAACCAGTTCTCAATTCCAGGAGCACAAACCAGCTGATTGAAACCCAATCGCCTGCCATCTGGGAACTGCAACTCCTTTAACCTATTAGCTCCTTCCATCTCCTCCTGGCTTTAAAATTAAATCTTATTCCACAGTGTCATTCCACACTTTATTTATTTATTTACACTCTGCCTTGTTCCAACAAGGATTTAACTTGGCTTACTCTATAGTTAATTACAAATGAACTCTTTCATTTAAAAAAAGAACTATGAGACACCAGGGGAGACTAACCCATTGGCTTCCCTGATGGGCACACATGGTTCAACTGTCTCTGCCACCAGCTAATCCACACACCTGCCACGGAGAGGTGCTAGCTAGCAGCCCGGCCTCACCTCCTCAGCTGCTGCCCCTTCTCCGTGAACTTCCAAGTGGCGAGATGGTCTATCAGAGAACTTCATTCTGAAGGTAGTACTCACTTATTAGCTGTGCCAAAGCTCCCTGGATGACCTTAGCCATTTGGTTTTAGATTTGTATAGACCTCTTCTTGAAAGGTCTTTCGTTCTTTGTGGTTCCTGCTCTCTCATCTTTGAGATGAGAACTGTGTCCACCTTCATTTCCCACAAACTTAGAAGTACATCCATGAAAGCACCTTGGGAAAGATGCACAAAAGGTTGTGACCTCCCAGCTAATGGCTTGAAGTCAGGCACTGTCTCGGCCCAGCTTGTCCTACCCACATCTCTGGACTAAGTCAGACCATGAAAAGCACTGTGAGAATTGTTACAGTGTGTCCTCTGGCACCTGGTGGGTAACCCTAGGAAATGGCTCCTGCATCTCTAGCTGGGCAACCTCTCAAATTGGTGGGTGTACACCCCAGCTGATAAGCAGACAGAGGGAGGGACAAGAGGCTGCCCTGTAAGTCTGAAGGGAGATGCCAGGCCATCCCTCCCCAGGTGGAGCGCAAGTGTGAGGAAGGAGTCACACTGACAGGGGAAGAGCGAAGTTCTGTAGATGTTGAGTAAGCAGAAGTTGGGTACGGGGTGGGTGGGAACGATATTTAACAATTAGGCTGGGGAGGGGATTGTCAATGGGAGTTGGGGTGGGTGAGATCTTGCCACAGGGAAGACAGGGACTGGGGGTCTCTCCAGGGAAAAAGTAACTTGGGAATGTCTGGCCACCCTTTGGGTGAGTGTTAAGGGTGATGTGGGGGTCTGCCCATACAGAAATGGTGTCTTGGAAGGCGTCTTGTCACAGAGAAGAAAGGAGGTTGAAATGGTCATAACGTGTGGCTGGTTGGGAAGAGCGCCACCAAAGGAAAAAAAAAAGTAAGAGGACGCCGTCTCCACAGGAAAGGGAGCGTGGGGGTGAGGGGCCGCCATTAAAAGGTCAGGGTTGGCCGTGGAGCTGTGTGTGAGTGTGTAGCCTCAGAGGTAGGTTAGGGTGGGCATGCCGGGGTCTTCAAGGAGAGGTCGGGTTGATGTGGAAGGGATCTGAGAGGGAGAGTTAGCGTTAGCACGGGGGGAGGGGGGTGTCTCTAAGGAGAGATCGAAGTTGATCGGTGTGGAGGGTGTCTCCATGGGGAGGTCTGAGTTGACCGTGGGGGAGTGAGGGTCTGCAGGGTAAGTTGGCCGTAATGGGGGAGGTGTCCATACGGCCCAGCCTCACCGTCCGCCAGGGCCTCATTGCACTCGAAGCTGATCTCGAACCGGAAGGGGCTGTGGAAAGGGCTCGGATTCTCCAGTACCGCCACGTTCAACACCGACACCTTGGCCATTGCCTCGCTGGGCCGGGGCCAAGCTAGGCACTGCGTCCGCCGAGCCAAGGAACAGCGTTTCTTAGAACAGCTCCCGCCTCCTCTCTACGCGGACCGAAGTGCGCTCCGCGTTCGCGCGCCCCCTTCAAATAGCCGCTCCGCCCTCCGGCCAATCATTGCTAACGCTCCCGGGCGGCGCGAGCCCGTCCTCAACCAATCCTGGAGAGCCGGTGGGCGCGCGCCGAGACTCCCGAACCAATCCGCAGAGCTCCCTCTCCGGCAAGCTCGAGCGGGGTGGTACCAACTCCTGGAGCGTCCATCCCCACTGGGAGCCAATCTCCTGTGTCTCCGACTCGGATGCTGGGGACGGGGATGGGCGGAGGCAGAACGCGGGGTTCCTCTAGGCCAATCCCCAGGGCTCCCGCACCCGCCAGGCGCGCTCTTCGCCCCGCCTTTCCGGGGGCACACATCCCGCGAAGGCAGCGCCGCTAACGGCCGAAAGGGGGCGCGCGGCGCTCACTGAAGAGCGCAAGAAGGGCGGTGCTCGCTCTAGCTGTGATTGGCAGTCGGCAATGGTTGGAATGAAAACAGGTTTAGTGATTTGCGATTGGCTGGGTTGACCTCAGGGTGGGACTCGGAATGGTAGGTCGGCGGGGGATTCGCGGATGGGAGGGAAATCGGACGCCTGCGCAATTGCGTCGGGTCTGTAGGGAAAAAAGGAGATTTTGTCAGCGGGCGAGCGTTTCCGGGAGCTTTTCTGTATAGTATCTGGCCCCTCAGGTCCGGCGGCTGAGGAGTCCGTTGTGAACGCTGTAAATGTTTGACTCAACCCTGAGGGGAGACGGAACTGTGGTGTAATGCTGTGCGCTTGAGCTAGTCTCGGGACTTCAGCCAGGATCGAATTCCTCTGTCGCCACCTTGAGGCCTGCTGGGAGGTTTCAAGTAGATAATCGCTAGCGCGTCGAGCAAATGGGAGTTCGCGAATGTTTCGGGACAAATGCGGGTTCGAGTCCGGGCTCTGCCACTTCTGTTTCCCCGTTTATGGAACAGGGTTGTCAAAATTCAGCGACACAACTCATAACTCCACAATACTTACAGAAACTTCTCTCCACCTCCAACCTAATCCTGACACTGTCGACTCCAGGAGCTTCCACATCCCCGCTCCCCTTCTACTGTTAACCAGTGGAAAAGTAACGCGAGCCACAGACCTAATTTTACGTTTTCTGGTTTCTATGATTGCAAGAAGGAACTCGGGGGTAGTGGTTACTAGTCAAGCTGCTAACCTCAAGGTCAGCAGTTCGAAACTACCAGCTTTTATGCGGGAGAACGATGAGGCTTTCTGCTCCCGTGAAGATTTAAGGCCTCAGAAATCCTGTACAGGGTCCCTACGAGTCGGAATTGACTCCAGGGCACACCACCACCATCCCGATTGCGGGGATGGTGCGGGGCCAGGCAGTGTTTCATTATGTTGTTCATAGGGTTGTTACGAATCGGAGCTGACTCGCCAGTAATCTACAGTAAAAATATAATAATAATTTTAATAACGTCACATCAAATTCAGTACATCTAAAATATGAGAGTTGTTGTTAAGTGCTGTCCAGTTAAATCCGACTCAGCGACCCTGTATAGGGTTTCTGAGGAGCGGCTGGTGAGTTTGAACCGCCGACCTTGTGGTTGAGTGCTTATCCTACAGCACCACAAATAAGAGAGAACTTAACATTATTTTACACAGTACTAAGTGGTTACGAATCTGGCTGCGAACCTTAAGGCCAGCAGTTCGAAACTACCAGCTGATCCGCGGGAGAAAGATGAGGCTTCCTGCTCCCGTAAAGATTTATAGCCTCGGAAACCCTGTACAGGGTCGCTATGGGTCGGAACCGACTCGAAGGCACTTAACAACAACAAAGCCTTCCATCTAGGAGCTCTGGTAACGTAGTGGTCATGAATCGAGCTGCGAAATGCAAGGTCAGCAGTTTGAAACGGCCAGCTGTTCCGTGGGAGAAGATGAGGTTTCTGCTCCCGTAAAGATTTACAGCCTCGGAAACCCTGTACAGGGTCGCTATGAGTCGAACCGACTCCACGGTACATAATAACAACAACAATAACAACAAAGCCTCCCATCTGGTGTGGCGCTGTGGGTTGATGCACCAGACTGCAAAGCCGTTTGAACTTCAAGGTTGGCGGTTCAAGCTCACTAGCTGTTCCTCAGAAACCCTATACAGGGTGGCTATGGGTCAGAACAGACTCTATGGCACTTCACAACAACAATAACAAGCCTTCCACACATACATCAATAATTGGGAGGTTAAATTTCATTGAAATAGTTGGCCTTTCATACAATTTACAGTTGAAAATGTAGATCCATGTGTTCAAGTTGTCTCAGGCATCCTAAAAAGGTTTCTATGAGCTGAATTGGATTTTTGTACAAAATTAACACGAACTTGTTTTACTACAGCCAAACCAAGCTCCAGAGCTCAGGGTGAAAAGGCTGCTATACTGTTTTATGGTGTGAATTCTAAAGCAAATTGAATCCAGTCACTTCTCTGCTTGAAATGAGTGGTTTTCTGCTCTTCTGTAATGAGCATATTGTCATCAAGGCCCTATGTACTTTGTGTCCTATTTCCCATTCATCCCCACCTTCAGTCCAGCCAAACTGGCCTTTTCCCAGCTTGTGGCCCAACTGGTGGTGGTTATGTGCCGCGGAGTCGGTTCTGAGTCATAGAGACCCTGCATAGGGTTTCAGAAGCTGTCAATCTTTACGGGAGCAGAAAGCCTCATCTTTCTCCCGTGGAACAGCTGGTAGTTTCCAATTATTGACCCTGAAGTTAGCAGTCCTAACCACTAAGCTACCAGAGCTCCTTTGTGGCCCAACTGTTGTTGTTGTTAAGTGCCATCGAGTCAATTCCAACCCATAGAGACCCTGTATAGGGTTTCCAAGGAGAAGATGGTGAGCTTGAACCACTGACCTTGCAGTTCAAATGACTTTGCACTCTGACGTTAGCCCACAGCGCCATACCAGAACTTCTTATTCAGGTGTCTTGGTTCAGATGCCCTCTCCTCACAGAAGCCTTTTCAATCGTCTCTTGCACGGTGTTCAAACTCCTTTGATATTCTGGGTTTTCCAGGGTCAGGTATGTGCCTCTGCTTTACTCTGTGGACCTCAACAAGACTGATCCAAGTCACCAGCAGCCCTCACCTGGACATTTCTGTGGCCACCTCAGAATTGAAATATATTTTCGTAATTTGAAAGTTTTGTTACTTTTGTCTTGACATTCTTTAGCTGCCAGAAAATTCACATTTATAATTGGCTGAGATTTCCTGGCCAGCATTCGGCATACTTGGGAATTTTTTGTGACTCGGGAAAATCTAATTTCTAAATGTAATTTGATTGTTTACGAATACTAAGTTATTGATGAATGAAGTTAAAGTTTCTAAACGTTCAGTTAAACATTTATTCATTCCAACTTTGCAGTTTTCTTTGTGGAACTCTTTTTTTTTTTTTCTCCTTTAGCCCCACCTCAGCCTTTTCAAAGCCTCTGAAAAGCTCATCAGCCATACACATTCCGTCTTTGGTGCTGATGGAGAAGATAGCCCTGTCTGTAATTTCTCCAAACAGCTGTCTGAATGGGCTTCGCATGTGAACCAAATCACGTCCTTTCTGTGCTGAAGATGTTCAAAGGTTTGCCATACTTAGGCTGAATCTAAATATCTTCACTGTGGCTTAGGAGGAGCTGCCTGAAGGCCTCAGCTGACCCCTGGGACTTCATTTACCACTCTCCCTCTGGCTACCACTCTCAAACCATGCTAACCTTATTGCCCTTCTTTTATTTATTAATGTTGTTAGATGCTGTCCAGTGGGTTCCCACTTATAGTGACCTCATGCACAACATAACAAAACACTGCCCCAGTGCTGTACCGTCCTCACAATTGTTATGTTTGATCCTATTGCTGTACCACTGTGTCAACCCATCTCATTAGCGTTCTTCCTCTTTTTCACTGAACCTCCACTTTACCAAGCATCATGTCCTTCTCCAGAGACTGGTTCTTCCTGATAATATTCCAAAGTACGAAAGATGAAGTATCACCATACTCAATTCTAAGGAACATTCTGGCTGTATTTCTTCCAAGACAGATTTGTTTGCTCTTCTGGCAGTCCATGGTACTTTCAATATTCTTCTCCAACACCGTGATTCAAATACATCAATTCTACGGTCCAACTTTCAATATATGCTTATGAGGTGACTGAAAATACAAGTCAGGTGCATCATAGTCCTCAAATTCATATCTTTGCTCTCTAATACTTTAAAGAGGTGTTTTGCAGCAGATTTGCCTAATGCAATAAGTCATTTGATTTCTTGGCTATTGCTTCCTTGAGTGTTGGTGCGTTGATCCAAGCAAAATGAAGTCTTTGACAACTAAAATATTTTCTCCATTTATCATGATGTCATTTATTGGTCCAGTGGTGAGGATTTCTATTTTCTTTACATTTAAGTGCAACTCATACCAAAGGCTGTGGTCTTTGATCTTCATCAGTAAGTATTTTAAGTCCTCTTTGCTTTTAGCAAGCAAGGTTGTATCATCTGCTTATCACACGTTGTTAATGAGTCTTACTCCAATCCTGATGCCATGTTCTTCATATAATCCAGTTCTCAAATTATTTGCTCAGCATACATATTGAATAAGTTTGGTGAAAAGATTACAACCCTAGTATACACCTTTCCTCTTCAAGGTAGTTAAGAGCAGAGATGTCAGTTTGAGGACTAAGGTGTGCTTGACCTGCCAAGCCATGGTATTTTCAATAGCCTAATATGCATGTGAAAGTTGGACAATGAATAAGAAAGACCGTAGAAGAATCGATGCATTGAGTTATGGTGTTGAAGAATACTAAAGGTACCATGGATTGCCAGAAGAACAAACAAATCTGTGTTGGAATAAGTACAGCTAGAGTGCTCCTTAGAAGCCAAGATGACCAGATTTCATCTCTCATACTTCAAATGTATTATCAGGAGGGACCTGTCCCTGGAGAAGGACATGATGCTTGGTAA